GGTGTCACTAGCTGCTCAATTATGAGATAATCATGAGAACTTGCACTGTAGCGACCAATAATTTATTTTATAAGTCCTACCAGCTTTTCAAACATTGCACTAGACACGACCACTTCAGAGCACTTTGGCATCGACAAGATTGTTTGGAATTTGTTAAGATTGAGTTAAGAATTCAAATAGCCTATATTATGCTAACTCAAGAAAGGGGAAATAAAAGGTCAGACCTTTATGTTAAATTCGGTATCGGCTAAGCATTTCACTTTTTTTACCTAATCACTTTTTTTTTTTAATTTTATCTCAGACACTGTCACCGTGTGCACGCTCTACCATGGTGAGGTCAGGAAGTGGATACCCGGTGGAGAAAGAGTTGGACTGAACGGGTTGGGCATATAGGCCTTTTCATCTCTTACATATAAAACGTAGTAGTAATAACAAAAGCTAGAAGAAGTGCGGGCGACAACGATCGAAGGTCAAAACAATTTTGCTCAAACGCTGTGCTTTGCGTAAGTGTCGCGTGACAGATAGTCAAAACAAGCATGATCAGATCGGCGAGTGACAGAAGGTCCAAACGCGCTCGATCAAATTGCGTTCTATGTATTCCATTCATTCTTAGTGGAAAGCCGAACGAACGCTGGCTACATACATGCGACGCATGTGTAATAACAACCTGGAGATTAGGATTGCGGGCTTCTCTTGTCGTCCGCAATTAATTCCTCGCCTCGCGTAGCGAAGGTTTATAATCATGTCTAAATTTGCATAGCGCGTGGAACGTGCGTGGATCGCACAGCGAGACAAAAATACGAGTCGGCTTTGTATATACAGCTTTTTCGAGAAAGGTTGTCGGAAAAAGTGCACGCAACAAACCCGAAAGGTATTGTGGGCGCTTTTGGGTTCACTATTTTTTAAAGAAAGTTGAAAGAATGGCACGAGAGGCCATGGGATTATAGGTGCGAGTGCTAAAGGAAAGCAACAAAAGTAGGTTCGACATTGCCAGTGTCAGGAAAAGTGTATTGATCATATCCCATAATATCTTTCGGGATTTCCACGTGCACATTTTTTGTCGGACAACCTTTCTCGAAATAGCTGTATATCGAGTTTTCGGGTTAGTAGTCGCAGTGACTTCGACGATTGTGACGCTAATTCAGGTTTCCAAGCAACACGATTTCAACTGGATGCACTATCGTGTTTTATTCATAAAAGGCTAACGTGTCTATTCATCCTTTGTGAAAAATCTTTTACTTTGTTTTTTCGATTCTCTTCGTACGTATGGCAGGGAACTGCAAACTGTACAGCGACTTCGCGACGGTTTGGGAGACACCTATCGCTTTTGTCGGCCATTATTCTCCAAATGCGATGAAATGAGTTAAATTAGCGCTTTTAACGTCGAAACACTGCTTATTTCCTCAAATATACCTTTGAATTATTGATTAATACAGCTCCACCACTACAAACAGCGTCTACTAACAGAATTTCACGGGAAAATGCTTTAAAGACTGACAATAGTTTGGCCTGCCCGATTGAAATTTGACGATGTCGCGCAGTAGTCTATGAGACGACTTTGTTTGCAGGTGGACGGGATTCAACTGTCCAAGGCATTTTCTTTTATTTCATTTTTTCCCCTTTATGGCCGTTTCGTTTTTGCTTTTTTAACTATTAAATATCTTTTACCTATTGACATGTTTCCTTTATTCATGCATACTGGTGGCCCTTTCCGCGAGGTGTTGTGATAAACGTATTTCTAGTTTAACTCTAAAAAGGACAAATTCGTTAAGGGTTGAGAGACTCCAAAGAGGAATAAATAAAAAATTTTGCTCCAACTCCGTACAAAGTAATCACTCAGGAAACAAAAGTCTAATAAACTGTTGTGTTATAGGTTGTTTTCCATCAACATGGGCAAACCGGTCAGTCCACGGTTTAGGCAAATGGTACGCAAAATTCAGGACTGGTAAATTTCGCCCCGGATTCGCGTTTACAACATTGTGCGAATCAGTTCCATTTATCGGAAAACGTCCGCGAAGGCCTGAAACTGGTATCAAAGATGGCTTTGAAGAATGGAACACGAATTTCTGTTTGGAATATTCCGTCGGGAAAAAGAGGACTACCTTTTCAGATGTTCCGTTGTTCCCGGAAATTTTCCGCTGGAACGACCCAAAAAGTCGTGTTCCATTTACTTTTTTAAATTTTCAAGAGAATTTTCCGGAATCTTTTTGTAAATGGTAAACAACCATAATGTACTTTCCAGGGTGGGAAGATAATTTGTTAACGAAGAAAATTTTAAGGGAGACGTATATGACCATTTTTTTCAGACGCTGCTTTAAAAGTCTTTGCACTGAAATTTTGCAGAGAGATTTCTACAACCTTGTAATCATAAATTCTCTTTTCAATTTTTTCTAACAGTAAAACTATCATGAACTTCACGCTAAGTAATATAATAGGCAGCACATTAGATCCCAGGCCCCAGGTCATCCTTCAGAAAAACCTGTCAGTTATATTACGTTACGATGAGGTATGTTTTTTAGCTAGTAAGTTAATTTATAACTGTGATTAAAATCAGCCGAGAAGGGATTGATTGATAACTGCTTATACTGTTTTAGGATATTCTTGTTTTTTTTTTCGTAATCTGAAACATTCTGAAATCAAAGAAAACTCAGTTAGTGGCTCAAAACTTGCGGAACTCATCACGATGAAGACTGCGAGCTGACTCTTAGGGCAGTCCTTTTTACCATTTATACAACTACATGAGAAATTTCTGCAATTTGATTGGCTTAAATAAGTGTTATTGGTCAGCTTAATTTGAAATACCTACATGTGAAAATTACAAACCTTTTGCGGGTGGTGGTGATATTTCAAATTTGTCTCAAATTTCACGAGCCGTTCGTAAAACAATTTCGAAATATCACTCGTGGTATTTATGCCAAATATCACTACAAATCATGCTATTACCTGTACCAATTTGCATAATTTCAATTTTTCGCTCACCGCGCGTGGCAATGAGGTAAAAACCTGACGACCACTCACGGTCTAGTCACAATGTAAGGCGTTGTAAAATTATGCACTTTCTTTCTGTTGTGTTTCGTTTGTCGCTTTTACTTAGTATCAGATATAAAAATATTCACGACGCCGACGAGTCATTCACCTTTCTTTGATTTTTGTTAGTTTTATCTTACCTGAAACTTTAAATGTCTTTTTTAAGGGATATGAGGCACACTGTGTCTTCTGGGATTTTACTGCCAAGTAAGTGTGACAGAATTTTTCAATACGCACCTAAAAGGACTTAACAACATCAGGGGTTATTAGTATGAGTTGATTTATAGTTATTGTAGATAATAATCAGACAATTCTATACAGAAAATATTTCGCTACAGACTTCAATGCCGTAAGGGTTGATAAACTGCTGCCCTTTGATTGGCCTTTCCCTTTAAACAGTCATACTCCGAAACTATATTTCAGATCAAATTTCAACGGTTCTTGGTCAAGCAAAGGATGTTCAGTGGTCAATAAAACCAAAACGGAAATCACATGCACTTGTAACCACCTCACAAACTTTGCTGTTCTGATGCACGTTGGAGCAGACAATGAGGTTAGTTGGAGCAGCTTTTTGGCTTGTTTTCCGCATGTCCCAATACAATAACAACCCGCAAGTAAGAACGGAGATTTTAAGAACCGTTTAGGCTAAAATTTGTTAGTTAGGCCACCCCTGCAGAAGCACCTGTTTAGGACTGTATCGCAGCGGAGTTTCCAGAGACGTAGATGTGAAAATATAGATATCTTCCATAAATTTCAAAAATTTCAATCTATAGTAGAGCTACAAACTGTTATTTAAACGATATTATTGCATAAGAGTTTAAGTGTTGGAGCTGAGACAAGGCCTGATTACAATACATGTAAAATTATATCCAGGTTAAAATTCATGTTGTCACCGCTTCAGTTTTTCTTCTTAAATTGATTTTTACATTAATTTTAATTTGATGTGCAGATTTGACAGAAAGAATAAACTGAATGCCTCTAAATATTCAATGTATTTAAGAACCTCAAATAGGCTAAATTTGTGCTAATTACCATTTATGTAAGAACCTGTTTGGGCTAAATTGGGAAAATACAGGTTCTTACTCGCGGGTTTTTACTGTACTATGAATGTTAAAAAAACTAAGGGGAGCATCTACAATCGTGGCGCCATGAACCCTGTTTCACATTGTCATTTATAGTTTGAGTGACTCGAGTAGGGCTATGCCTATTTTCGCTAATGAGAGTACTTCTTTGCAAAATAATAAGGGTCCCTGGCTCTTGCCAATATTTGTCTTTATTGATCTGGCGTATTTGCAAACAGTTTTTAAACTATCTTTCCAACAGGTTCCAGCAGATCATAAGGTGGCGTTGAAAGTCATTACTTACGTTGGGTGCGCTCTGTCGCTTTTCGGAGAAGCACTCACCGCTGTTGCATATTGCGTCCTCATGTGAGTTACAAATAATATACCGTCATAAAAAGGCTCAGACATTTAGATTTGGTTTTTGTGATATCCGAAATGATCAAGGTCGAGGTAAGCGTTTTTAACTCACGCATCTTGGTTTCAAATGCACCAAGTATAAGCTGGGGAAGAGTGAAACCAAGATTGTCGCCTGCGACATGCAAGCAGTAAGCGCTTGAACAGACTACACGTTCAACATAAAAACATGGGGCTGTAAGAAATTTATCGTCCAACGAGCGCTTTAAACAGTTTTTTCAGGACCAAATGTTTAACCATAGCATATTAGACGCGCTTTGTTCCTAAACTATTTGCATTGAATCTTAATAAATGCAAAATTATGACAATAACAAAACCACAAGGGAGGGGAACGGGGAGTCAGCCACCCTCTTCACAACCCCTCGAAGCGCCGTTGGGCTCTGGATTAGCTTATCAGACGTTCATTTATGATTTTTAAATTAAGAGGAAGCAGAAGCACCTTAAGATGGGATTTTCCCGCTTTGAAAAAAATAACATGTCAACGGTGTTCAATAATTTTTTGCCTCGTTCAGGGATTTGAAAGAAAACCAATCTCAAATCCGCTTTAACCTTGTGGTTGCCATAGCGATAGCACAAATTACGTTTCTTGCTGGAATTGATGCCACAGAAGTTAAGGTAAGCTAAAGACGTATACTAAGTTAATCTGAAAGATGAAGAAATAATGAGCATTTTGTTGGCTTAAATGATAAGTTGATCTCCAAAACTTTTAAAACGAAAATAAAAAATGAAAGACTTTTGGATGTAAAAAACTTGAGTTTTGAATAACTTAATATCATTAGATGGCATTCCCTTGAGCTTGATGTTAAGCAAAGGTACTAAAAAAGATGTGGCTCACTGGTCGATTGCTCTTTATTTCTCTTTAGTATCTTTGGTTTAATTGCATTGCATCAAGAGAGTTTTTTTTTTATCATTATTATTTTATTTTTTACTTTTAATCAGTAATTTTTTGTGGGGGGAAGGTTGGTAAAAAGCTTGCCGTTATGGACAATGTGATGACGGTGAATCCCGTCTCTTTATAGGAACTGTGTGTGTTTGTAGCAGCCATGATTCATTACTTCTATCTGGTGGGATTTGCTTGGATGTTATTTGAGGGTGTTTACCTGTATCTGATGGTTGTCAAAGTGTTCAATACGGTCATCAGATGGCGCTTGTTCTATGGAGTGGCTTGGGGTAAGTATTAAAGCAAAAAGCCTACTACAGAAAATGGCCCGTTGGTAGATCTAGACAAGAGGGAGTGATCATGACTTGTCAGTCCCTTCCGGGATCAAAACCATTTTCGTTAATTGATTCCTGGTTTATACTACTTCTTTCCTTACGTACTTACAAGGACTTGCAATTGAGACTTGCTATTCAGAGGAATTTGTACCACACCACAGTTCTCATAAGAGTGCTACGCTGACGTAGCTGACGTAACCCAACTGAGTCTAAATTGTCATTTTTCTCTTTTTCGTTTTCAATCAAACCTTAGGCCTCTCCCTTTTGATTGTGGTTTTATCGATCGTGATTGCTTCCGTTCAAGATGGCGGAATAGAAAGCTATGTTCATGATCATTTGTAAGTAAACAAACCAGATCTTAATACTACCGAACAAAACGGCGCAAGAAAAACTTGGAGGTTTCAAGAATCCATTTATTTTTTTATTACCATTATTTATTTATTTATTTATTGCAAAGTTACTTAATATGAAATTTGCCCAAACTGCCTTTTTCAGAGGAATTATTATCAGCACGTTCATGTTACAGGCCTAAAACATTGGTTTTCAAACAATTGAAAATTTTTAAAAAAGTCTTCGTAGGCTTTTTCTTCAACATGTCCAGTTTTAACCGTCAAGTTTTATCAAGCAATCCTTTCTTAGTAACACCTTGATTTTCTATATTTTTTTCAGTTGCTGGGTTTCCTTCAAAAATAACCTTATCTGGACGTTTGTTGCGCCTGTTCTCTTAGTTTGCACGGTAAGGGTAAGAAAGTGAAAATGTCCCATAAGTGAATGAGTTTGTTAAGAGAACAAGTTAAAAAAATGATTGCTTACAGAATATTGAGGCTCATCTGTTCCTTAATAAAAAATTGATATAATCATCAAATATTTGCAATGAAAATGTAAGACGTGAAACTGAAATTAATAACGATTCATGTAGAAAAAAGAAAACCAGAATATTTAGCTACCTTTCATATCATAGTCTTGGTGGGTTACAGTAAGCCCATAAACGGACTGATAGCGGCTACCAGTGGCGCCCTTGTACGCCTATTTCAGAGCTTACTGTTAAAATGTAAATATATTCTGTAAAGAGGACACGTCTATTGTCCTCTCATCCACGCCATTTCATTTATTCATTCATTTGCGGGTAATAAACACATCTGGGACAGAGCGCTGCGGTGGAGGGGAGGCTGTGACCAGTCATACTTAGTGTGATATGCTTGAGGTGTTTCATACGTCCGAGCTTTGATCGATTATTTATCGATTATATTTTATGTTTTCATTTATTTATTTATTTATTTATTTATTTATTTACTGTAGTTATATTTTCAAGACCTGAGAGAAAGAGAGAAACAGGGTCCAAGGTTTCTGCCATCAAAAGATCTCTTATTTTCATGCATTGTCTCCACACAGCTAAACTCAGTTTTACTTGCTCGAGTGGTTCATGAGATTCTAAGAATGCAAGCCGACAAAACACCTCATCTGGAAAGAGTTCGACAAGGAGTTAAAGCATGCGTAGTTTTGTTTCCTCTTCTGGGACTGACCTGGGTGTTTGGTGTCCTAAGTGTCACAGATGCTGGACTCGTATTTCAGTACATCTTTACCATCTTCAACTCTTTGCAGGTACTAGAAAATCCAACATGTTAACTTTTTGAGTAGTTTGAGGAAACAGTCGACATTTCGCAGGGGCACTCAACGAGAATATAGTTCAAAACCACTTAAACATAGCATTGTTGAACGTATTTTAGTATTTAAACGATATATATAAGCATATTTTTATCCCCTAAACATTTTTCATCTGTTCGGCTTTCGTAGCTGAAAGTCTAGTGATCCGAAAATTATGGGGATGAAAACTTACCTTTTCGAAAATTTCGGCAAGAAAAAAGGCTTAGATGACCTTTTTAGGGTAAAAATCCGTTAAAAATGGGCAATTATACCATTTTTTAGATGTTCGAAAATCCTAGGAGAGGCAGGCAAGCAAGAAATTTTACAAAAAATGTTCCGAAAATGGTAGATCTCAAATCGTCTCCCGAACAGATATTTTCCGATAATTGGCGTTGGGTGCCCTGATTTCGCGACGCCACCACTGGTTTTCCCAAGAAATGACGTAGGGCGGAAACGTCCATACTGATGACGTGTAACAACCCAGATCTGGGAAGTGCTTCTTATTGGATGAAGCAGATTTTAACCAATCAGAAGCACTACCCAGATGTAGGTAGTGAGGCATAATCAGTATGGAATTGCTCCGCTCGTGTCTCCAACGTCATTACGCGGGGAAACTAGTGGTGGTGTCGCACAATGTCAGCTGTTTTCTCAGGCTAACTGACAGCGAGCAAATATCCTTTTATCAAAGCACTTAGCTCGGTGACTAAAAAAGCGGTTTCAATTCACTAATTCGTTCATTTATTTATTCATATAATTTTGCCACACAAGCATTCGAAGTTTACTCCAGGCTTTGACAGTAGTGTCAAGGATTGTAGCGATCGAGAAAATTAACAAGAACATAGAATAGTAGAGATGGTGGGCGGTACCTGATACCATGTACTGCGATTAACCATTGACTACAAATTTTGCCCTCATTTCTTCTTTTCTCTCATCCTTATGTATGAACTTAACTTTCTTTTTTTTGGACGATACACACATTTTTAGGGTTTGTTCATCTTCATCCTTCACGTTTTGAGAAACAGCGACGTACGTGCAGCATACTCTCGAAAGATGCAGAAGAGGAATGCAGCAAAAAGCCTGAAAAACTCTCAAGAAAACCGCAATACAATCGGATTGTGGTCAAGCAAAGCGACAAATGAACAAAGATGTACAAAAGAACCTAGCAGTGCCTCTCTAAGAGCATCGGTTGGAGTAAAAAGTAAGATTGACAATGCCTTGCACGAGGAAAGAACCATGACTCCCGTTGACACGTAACTGTCACTTAGACTGAACGCGAACATCGTGAATTTGTTTTAGTAGCCACTGTTAGAGAATAGAGTATTGGCAAGTTTTCATTATACTTTTAATTCTTAGCAAATAGCGTAAAAATCCTACAAAGAAACATTACTTCACATTACTTACTCTGGTTTGAAGCGAAACCAAGTGCGACTCCATTGCTACGAAATATACTCTCATGAAAATGAACTAGGAAAGGTTTTTGCACTTGTTGTATCCAACAATTAGGAAAGGTTAGTGGATACCAACATTGTATTATCACATTACTTTGTTGCTTATGAAACGCAATGTTTCTCCCGTTGAATCAGAGTCTCAAAGAGCAAAAACTTTTAAATTCAATCGATCATGAGTTGACAGGTCGTTCTAGTAGACTTTCTTGGAAATTCATATCAGTCCATGCTGTGGTGAAGAGAGATACCCAATAAAGACACTTAACCATTAGTTTATATCACCTTTCTCGGGAAACGTAGAATTCCAGTACCAGTGTTAGAACCTGCAGAATTTGCAGTGACTCCATATTCATTGACTTTTATTGTAGTCATCCGAGATCGTCATGGATTATTAACCCTTTGACGACTTCTTGGGTCGTTTTTGTTCCATATGGAACATGTATATTTTTCTTCCTAGTTGGTTCTGACGCAGCAACGTGAGCAAAGATGCCACTCCATCGATAATTCGTTTTGGAAATTCTGACCAATCCTGACAGAGTTAGATACAAAAAAAGAAGTAACAGCTCTGGTGAAAAATTCACTGCCTATTTCGCAAAAAAGAACCCGTTTACTTTACGTCCGATTAGTCGGAAAATGCTTAGTTTACTGTTGCAAATTAAACTCATTTTAGCCATTTCCATCCGGTTTTTTCGCTACTCGCTGGCGGTCGCCAAAGGGTTAAGTATGAAATTGCGAGTGGGAATATGGGTCACTACGTGTGTGTATTATCACTTATTAAAATTTTTTGTGTGTCTGATCTTTAGATCAGAATGCGATTAAACGCCACAGCGTTTAAAATTTAAATTAGCTGAAAATCACTGTTAAAAAAAATCACTAAAAATCACTGTTATTTCCAATAAGGAAAACCTTTAACAGTAGCAATAATCAAGTCCCTCTATTTGGCCATACGTAAAATTAAAGTACCGAAAATTTACAGTGCCCCGCGATATAGCTTTATCGGAAGATGACATAAAAAAAAGCCATAGGTAGAATCACTTCGTCAATACCTGTCTTTGGGGTAAAACAAATGCACTCTGTTTCAGCTCCAAAAAGAGGTTGGATCGAGTTGATAAACTTAAAATATTACTCACTGACAGATGATGATAATTACCAGTCTACGTTTGTCCCAGATATATAAATTCCAAATTTCTATCCTTACATTTTACACTTTTTCTTTCTACCCCAATCGGATTAAACAATAATACTGCAACGTATCAAAAACTCCCGGAAGGGGTTCCATCCACCCCCACCCCCCCCCCCCCCCCCCCCCCCCCCCCCCCCCCCCCCCCCCCCCCTTGTACCACGATGGGGGTATGAACTAGCGTGTACATCCGAGGGTTAACTAGCACTAAATTCATTGTGAGTGAAATGTAGAGGAAAGGCTTAGAATTTTGCACAAATTTGCTCCTTGCAAATATATAAATAATGAGGACTAAATATATGGCAAAGATGGTTTTGCCACATTTGCATACAAATAAACCCTGGATTGTAAATAACTAGGCAGGTGTGGCATTTTGGGGCCTTTGTGTAATCTCCTACTCAAATCTCTTGTTGAAGAGGCCAAAGGCGAGATCTGGTCATATCCGATTTGTGCACGTGATCGCCTGTCACAGGAGCGTGGGCTCCTGCCTGTCAAGAATGTGACAGGTGATGAAAGAGCGCATGCTCAAAATAAATCCTTCATTTTAGACGTGTTAAATAACGAATTTGATAGAGCCGTGAAGTTTTCTCTAACAAAACGTGGTTATACCCATATTTTAAGAATGAACCAACTAAATTGTTGTTGTTTTTCTTTGTAACACCAAACTGAAAGCGACTTGCTGATGTTAATCACGGAAAACATGCCTCCACGATTTATAAAAGTTGCTGGAAATATAAGACCATCCTTAATAAGCCATTTCCGAGTTCCCCCGGACCTCTGTTCAAAACGAGGGTAGGTGGTCAGCCTTTGATATGGAAATCATTTTTCATTCTCATGCAAATAAAACTCATTTTCACAAGAAAGGTTGTGCACCTAGCCTCATTTTGAAAGTGAGGGTTTTTGGAACTCGGATGTGGCCTATTTGGAGGAAAAATTTGAACAGAGGAGAGGGAGGGAGTGAAACTCAAACCCCACAGATATTTGACTACTGCAGCGGTTTCAATTGAATGAGAGCAGATTTTTCTGTATCCTGTTCCAGGCGTTCAGTGGGGAGAGAGTTAAATCGTAGGCGGTGAGCGATAATGGAACACGAGAGGAAGTCAAAGAAAGACTATCGTCAACTCGTGGGAACGTTGTTTAGAAAATAATCAAATGATAGTTATCAACTCTGGTTTCCCCACAGTACATTGTGGGAAATGATAGAAATTCGGATTGTTTATTGGAAACACGATACTTTTCTTGCTGTTTATTGCACTCTATGAAATAAAAGTTATTTAGGCATATATTTATAGAAAAACAACAAAACAAATAACCGAACAAAATAAAACAGAAACGGAAAAAGAGAAAGAAGGAAGGAAAAAAAGAAAAGTATTGAGTACCAGTCGACACTGCACCTTAAGCTTGACGAGACTATACCTTGCCACTAGCTACACCACTAAAGCTGATTACATAACGTTGGCGAAAAGTCTTTAATTTAATGCCTTTTCCATGGAGCTTCCGCCGTTTGAAGATGATCGAGCCGCATTAACCGAGAAAAAAAATGTTAACGCATTCCATGGCGATGAATTAATGAAAGAACATAATCACGCTTCACAAAAAGCCGATAAACCTCGTCTGCGAAGTAGCACGCAAAATATATGTTCCGTTATCTCGATTTCCGCTGTAGTTTTGACGCTAATGATCAAAATCACATCCATTTTCGTCTCATACAGGTTCTTAGGAATGGCATGGCATTACATTTTGTCACTTTCAGATCACTTTCCAGCAAGCCAGAATTCAGTATATATCCCCCGTGATCTTGCGGCGGAGTCGAAGAGCAAACCCTCATCTTCTTCTGTCAAGTTTAACGCCTGGACGAGTCAAAGGCTCTTAAAATCCAATCCCCAAGTTAACCATCGTACTCATCTGAAAGACTCCTCCATGTCTTAAATTTGGTAAGACCTCTAACCGTACTGTAGAAAATTTGCGACAAAGAAAACTCTGAGTCTGAGCACTAGCGAACGATGCACGCTCTCGGCAAAGATTTTGATACAACCGAACTTCGGCGAGCGCGTGCTTCTTCGGAAACGATAGATCTTCGCACTCTCGAGTTCGGACCCGATTAATTACGAAGTCCGTCTACTACGAGTGAGCGAGTGACCCATTTACATATCCCCGTCCCTACAATAACTCGTGGTACGCTCGCGCGTCCCCACGAGTTAAAAAACGAGGGGAGACTAGGGAGCGCGCAATCAACTAATTTTTTGCCCGCGTTCTAATATTTGAATGACCTGAACAGGTTAATTTTTCTTCTGAGCGTCTCAGAATATTTTGGCAGCTAGTTGTAGTTTGCGCAACGCTTAAAAAACACTGATAACTGACAAAAAATTAAAAAATATGTTTAAAAAATATGCTTTTGTCATTGATGGATCCCGAAAGAGTAGATGAAGAAAAAGTCGGAGTCGGAAAACAAATAAAATTGTGCCACCTGAGGTGACAAGATAGTTTGAAATAGGACTGGTCACTTTTGTATTCGAATTATTCAAGTTCAATTTTATAGTGTCACCTGGGAGACACAAACAAAATATAGTTTTCTCTTCTTGCTTTCTTTTCTTCTTTTTTCTTTCTTCCTTTTTTTTCTTCTTCTATATTTTGTCCCCTTTTTGTGTATTTTATGTGTAAGTAAAAGACAACATTTCTTTCAATTTTTTCTGTTTTTGTTTTGCTTTGTTTTAACAACATCTGCTTACATCTTGTATAAAACACCATTTTAAAAGCTCCGGCTCCAGTTTGAAACCTTAAAAAAATGTTAAAGGCGCACAATGAGTATGTACAGGAAGAACGCGTGACTGAGGGAAACGCAAAGCGGGGAAATAAACTAAGGCCAAAAAACTAAAATGGATTATTGTTTAGGTGACAGATTGGAATTATACTCTGCTTCATCACCTTTTTTTTTTTTACTGTGAGCCATGATTGTTATTGACGTACGCGATAATTTCCTTTGTCGATTGTATTATAGATTGGCACATCCAACGCAATGAACTAGTCGATAACCCATGGGGGAGCTAATATATTACACATTTCATATGATGAGTTGATTTTGTCTGGTGAAAAAAAAACAAGTTTAGTTCAGTCTTTATTCAAGGCTTCTAATAACCGAAAACTCATACAATAATCGACTCCTCGATTTTTAAACTCCTTCTTTATATATTCGCAAATTTGCAGCTTTTAAACTTAATCTGAGGAAGGTGGAAGGCTTTCTTTTTCCCGATTATCTTTGTTTTCGTTTAACTTCTATTCATAATTGCTTTTTAAACCCCCAAACGTCACTGTGGTGTCGTAATTATGTAGTTTTCGAAAATTTGGTGGCGTTTCTGAAGTTTAAACTTTGAAAAAAAAAAATACTGCAACGTTTGACGCTGAGGAAGGAGCTAGAGAGCAATTAGACTGACTTCCGCATGTACACTGACGTTAGACCATATGAATTGACTTTTCAGAAAGCAGTATTACGTAGTTAACCAAAAACTAGTAAGTAGTTCGTAGTTGATTGGTTATTAGCTTTTTTTTTCTCTTTTTCTTTTGTTAAACCCTTCGGCAAGGTCATCACAATTTTAACAGGCATCATAGGGTGGAAGTTAAAGTTGCTTAGA